GAAAGAGCATATCTAGAGGCTTCACCAGATGAAAAGTTTAAACTAAGAGCAGGAAGTCCTGGTTAGGGACACCCTTCTCTTCAGAACTGTACCATGCACAGATGCCCCATGTATCTGGGGTTAGGACTATTGGGCCCACTGAAGTACGCCTGATACTTCCATTATAAAATTCCACATCAGATTTTCACCTACTCATTTTGTTAGTTATTAATGACCACTGTTATATTCATTGTCATAATTAGTGTTGTTTTAAAGTGCTAAAAGTGTTTCATAGCAGCATCTTTGTCCTTCTAATATTAATGGAATTATTCTTTGATTGGTGTAATTTATTAAATTAAATAAATTTAAAATGTAAACCTGATGATAAACTATTTCTTCCTTTTAGTAACTTGAGAGCATTTTGGAACCTCATGAAAGACCTTCAAGGTGCTGTGTTCCTTCCTAAGAAAAGCAAAAACATTGTTTTTGGAGCCGTTTTTGTCCTGTGTGAGTGTGTATTTTTCCCCCATGATAGTCAAGTGTAATTTTAACCTTCCACAAATGATCTGCTGATTTGAAATATCATGGGAAAAATTTGACCTAGAACATCTTAAGAAAGGTTGGTTACTGGAAAGACAGGCTAAGGACACTTGGCAAGATGGCTCTTACATTCTTTCCTCTTCCTCAAGTCTTTTATTTTTAATTTGGTTCTGTTTCTTGTGAACTAATTTTCGGGCACCTTGAATACCATCCAAGGTCTTTCTTCTAGCTTCTGTTTCTTGTGAACTAATTTTCGGGCACCTTGAATACCATCCAAGGTCTTTCTTCTAGCTACACCGGCCCACTTCACAGGCTTTTACTCATGAGCTCCATGAGCCAAAGCACACAGGTGATTACTTCCTTTGGACCTGCTATCTCCCCGGGAGTAAATACCTGCCTCTTAGAGGAGCTCCCCGCCGCTCTCCCTCTCTCTCTCTGCTTGTTTCTTTTATACACAACTCCATTACATGACTTTTCTTAAACTTACAGCTGGTTTCTTGCCTAATACCTTATCTATCTAGTTTTTAAAATAAATTTCCTTTGGGAAATATATAAATACATCCCCACATAGAATTAACAATATTTATTTTACTAAATATTTTCAAGCACTATATTTTGACCCTACTCTTACCTCTCTCTCAACTCCTCCCAAATCCTCTTTATCTAACTTTATGATCTCTCTCTTAAAAAAAAAAGAAACTGAGAAACTGAAAAAACAACAATAATAAAGCAACAATACCTCACAAAACAAAACAAAACAAAATTGGAGAATCAAAGCAGAAAAACTACAAAACAAGACCAATAAGACATAAAACACCAAAACCAAACAAAAACAAAGCACATTCACAAAGACTGGAGCTCATTTTGGTCTCCAGCCCTGGGGAACCCAGGGATCTTAACAGAGGTTAACAATGTTTAAAGAGCAGACAAACGAGTTTCTCAAGAATAGTTAGTACTCTATGTTTGCAGTGGTGTTATGGCCAGGTCCTAGTAGTTGTTTTCTTTTCAGAGTGTTTTATGTCATTTTCTCTACTGCTTGCACTTAACTCATCATTTTTCCACCCTCAAATGGTATTTATTTGAGAATACAGATTCAGAGGCTGGAGAGATGGCTCAGGGTGTGCCTGCACTTCCACAGAGTTCTACTCCTGGCACCCTTAGCAGGTGGCTCACAACTGCCAGTGACTTCAAGGACTTGTGATCTCTCTTATGGCTCCACAGACACCCATACGTGTCATACAGTCATATAGTACATATAATACATGTGACATATAGTACACATAAATCTAATCAAAATCAAATTAAATTTAACAAACACTGAATAAAAGAAGAAGATCAGAAAACAAGTCCTTATTCATATGTGGCCACACAAGTTCTTGAAATCATACTTAAGGCTTTTTCTTTTTCTCTTATTACCTTCAAAAGGACAAATAGAAATAGTTCTTGGAGAAAGGCAAGAGAGAAACAATGGAGAACATGAGGAGAGAGAAAGAATTAAAAATAAGAGAAAGAGGTAGGTAGGAAGAGGAAGGGAGGGAGAGAGGGAGGAAAGAGAGAGACTAGAAGCAGCTGAAGGTTCTCCCATTCTTCTTCTGTGGGGAGCCTGTCAGTCAACAGGATGAGTTGGGTTAAAGGAACAAGGGCAGCTTCTATGATGACAAGGACATAAATCAAAACTTTAACTAAAGTGGAACAAAACCTGTGCAAATCCCACAACCAGTAAGAAGTGGACTGTGGGAGATTTTATATTAATTTTATTTCCTTCCATTTAGCTTTCTATAACTACTGTATTTCTTCTATCTCTAACAGCACTGGCTTGAACTTTCTGAATGATAAAGTAAAGCGAAAATGGTAACAATGGTAGCCTAGGTTTATATAACCCCCCCCCAGCTTGCTTTAAGTAATAGTATTTCATCATAGCAATAGTAACCTTAACTAAGACACCAGTACTGATACTTGGATTGATCAATATCAAGACAAAAAGGAGAATAGTGCCAATTGACATTGGTTATGGAGAAAAGGAATTGAAGAGGAAGAAAAACTATACTAATTTCATCATTATTAGCAAAGGCATTAAGGAAGCAAAGGCACTAAGGAAAACCTTGATAACCACGAGTTAAAGAAAAAACCAGGCCCTCCCCTGCTTCTGTCCAGGTTCTGGGAACTCAGCACACTGACACCTCTGCATACTGTCTCCAGCCACATTGGCGCTGCAATGCAGTGATGAGGAGCTGCCGCAGAGGCCTTCTGTCTTGAAAAGTCCAGAACGTTTACAGTCTCATCTTTCATTGAAAGTCTGATGATCTTTCTTCTAAAGCAATTGAGTATTAGCGTAGTATGTAAAAATCACAATTATAAGTTAAGTGGCAAAATTACTTAATATTATGAGAGAATCACTTACAGATGCAAAAGCTCCTCACAGAAAGAAAGACAATGTGGTTGATCCAATATTTCTCTACGGAAAGACAGAAAAATCAGGAAAAAAAAAAGGCATTTTCCTAGTGATGGATAAGAGTATTGTGTGCAAGCAGTACTAAAATAGAGGCGATTTTCTGAGAGATCCAAATAAAAGGATTTAACACTAACAGTTTGTCACTGCTTAAAGTCATAAAGCAATGACGCTGAAGCCTAATTTGCAACTAAAAGTTTATAAATATGAACACATGCACGCGGAAGAAAATGTGGTAAGAGACTCCTGAGGCAAATGCATTGATTGGTTGGCAATCAAATTCAGTTGAATTTGGATTTTAAGAGTTGAGTATATCAACGGCACTCCAGAGCTGGCCTCAGGTCTAAGAGTAGTCGGCCTCTGTAAAGTGAACTCTGTGTATTTTGTGTGTCTTTTATTTTATTGGGGTGTTTTTTGTTTTGTTTTGTTTTGTTTTGCTTATCTGTTGGTTAATTTTGATTATTTTTGAGAGAGAGAAAGAACATGCAGTTGAGTAGGTAGGAAGATGGGGAGGGCCTCAGGGAGTTGAGAAAGGGAAAAGATTATGGTGAAAATATATTCTATGAAAAAAGTTTTAAAGCCAACCAGTACAAAAAATTGTGTTTGAAAACAAATAAGTTAAAAATTGCATAGATAACTTAAAATTTTCATTGCTTACATTTAGATAAGTAAATAAAATACACACAATTGATAAAGTGGTTATATCTTAAGAAAAAATTGATTTTATATAAAAATCTAACATAATAGAGAAAAATATAAAAAGTGGTCTAGATGTAAAGAAAATTAGATATTTCTTCCGTCTTTCTACAAAATCGTGTTTTGTTTTGTTTTGTGAGACAGGGTTTCTCTGTAGCTTTGGAGCCTGTCCTGGAACTAGCTCTTGTAGCCCAGGCTGGTCTCGAACTCACAGAGATCTGCCTGTCTCTGCCTCCCGAGTGCTGGGATTAAAGGTGTGTGCCACCACTGCCTGGCTTTCTACAAAATCTTAAAAGTTATGTATTTATAATTATATATTTAACAAAACTTGGATCAGGCAATGGAAAGAAATTTTAAAATTAGAAAGAATCTTGTAAGATCATTAATATTTTAGATGACATAATTCTTAATTTTAAAAAATAACAGTAATAGCTGAGTAAATAATAAAATCTGAGGGTTGTGTAAGGTGGGTGAGAAAACTATCCATCTACAGAAGTTCATAGCTTTTATGTATATCAACAACAACCAGTTCAAACCTAAAAAATAAATTCATTTATAACATAACAAAATCATTTTTTTAAAAAAAGAAACCCAAAGAAGCCAGGAGAATTAATACTGATTCATGACAAGCAAAAGGTTAATTCTTTCATCATAAAAACTCCTATGGACTGACTAACAACAGAAAGGATCAAGAACATGAAGTAAACAACTAAAGCCACACAGCTTAAAGAAATGCAAACAAATGGTGATCCTGACATCTTTCATCTTACCGATAGCAAACTGCAAATGGGTTCTGAATACGGGTCAGTCACCATGCTACCTTCTCTTCTTTTTGTTATTCTGCTGTGTGCTCCCTACGGGACTTAATCCTCCACGCCATCACTTTCTCTTATTTTTATTTCCCACTGCTATTATCTTGATCTAGATCCAACCCATTTTCTCTCTAGGTAGATTATTTAACAGCTTCTAATTCATAGTTACTGCTATTCGATCCCATCTGATAGGATGAAAACACATATTTGTGTGTGTGTCTGAGTACCTATCACATACCATACTGTGTTCAAAGGTGGGATATAGAAAAAAGAAAACATGTTCCTGTTCTCACAAAGTTTCTCCTGTGGAGGAAGGTGTTGGAAATCTTATCAAATTACACAAGGGTGGTAACTGGCACAGGAATAATCAATTAACCGTTGAACAGAGGCCTGCAAGACTGAGGGAACCATAGCTGTCAAATGCAGAACGTAACTCCACCACTGAAGAAATTAAATTCTAGGCATACTGATCATGGGGTACCAGTGCTTAGGATTTTAAAAGTTAACAGATTTGTGCTACTAGGTTTTGTGTTTTTTTTTTTTTTTTTTTTTTTTTTTTTTTTTTTATTTTGACAGCAACTAGAGTCTTTTGGGAAAGGGAACCTCAAATGAGAAAATAACCCCACCAGACTGGCCTGAGGGCAAGCCTGTAGTGTGTTTTCCTGATTGGCGATTGATGTTGGGAGCCCAGCTCACCCCTGAACAAGTGGTCCAGGAAGCTATGAAAAAGTTAGGGGGTATAAGCCATCAAACAGCGTTCCTCAAAGGCCTTTGCTTCATTTCCTGGTTCCAGGTTCTTGCTTTGAATTCCTTCCCCCCTGACTTTTCTGGATGATGACCTGCAAGCTTTAAGATGAAAAACACCACATCCCAACTTATTTGTGGTCATGGTATTATATCAAAACAATAGAAACCCCAAGACCTTTCCTTTATTATAGATGGCACCTATGGCAAAATAAAGACACGAGAAAAAACTCACTGTTACCTGCTTTACCTCACACTTTGGAGATGACCTAAGCTGGTTGCTTGCTAGCATGTGTGAGGACTGTGAACTTCCGTCCATGACAGAGGGAGCTAAATTCGCTGTGAAATATTCATACCATGTTTGGTTTAAAAATAAACACTAATAACCCGCATCCCTTCATTGACCCTCTAAGTTTTGGCTGTCTTCACTGAAAAACATCCTTTTAATTTTATTCTGAAAACAACATGGAGAACGACTTTCTTTCAAAACAAGTTTACTCATGAAGAGAAACACATGTTCCAAGGACAAACAACATTCCAGTGTCCAGTGTAAGGCTACTTGATTTCTGCAGGCTGACATCATACTTCAGCTACTGAACGTGTCTTCACATATATTGTTTGTTCTTCAACTCCATAGTTCTTCAAAGGCTTAGTTTTATGCAATTAATTAGAGAACATGTTTGAGCTGTGGGCCACTCTCTTCCATCTGTAGACTGCCAAGCCATCAGCACCTCACATTCCCATTTCCATGGTTCCCCCTCCACGATGGATTGCACATTCAGCCCAATTGCCACAATAAACACTTCATCCTTTAAAGTGCCCTTTACAGACACCGCATCGCAGCAATGAGTAATTAATATAAGAGTTAAGTCTGGATACTGGCTTTCAGAGTAAAACATAAAACTGTGATGACCTCAGTGTAGTATTTCATGGGATAAAGAGATGAGGGTATGTGTGTGTGCATGCAAACATACACATACACACACACACACACAGAGTGAGACAGACAGACAGAGCAATTCAGACACAGAGACCAACTAGGATTATGTTACCACATATATGATGATACTTCAAATTTGTAATGAAAGAATAACCCAGTTACTCAACAATAACATTAAAACAATAATCACATTTGAAAAAAGCCCTATGTCACAACGAACATGTGTTAGATCATAACTACAGTGACTTACCAGATATTCCCAATGACTTACCGGCCACTTCTTGCTTGCTTGCTTATGTGACTGAAGTTCAACAGGCAACTGGATATGGCTGGATACGGTCTGGAGTTCCTTTTCCATTTCACCACTGAGAGACCTTGGCAAACAGAACTTCACTGCCTTTAAACACTGTCTCTCAAAGCTGCTCAAGACAGTAATATCTAATGGGTACAGGGAAGAGTTTCTCTAATGTTCTGTGAGACAGGCAAAAGTGACATAACCATTTTTACCCATATTCCATTGGAATTCCATATTCTTTCCAGGAAGCTGGGAGGGAGATGCAATTCAAGCAGGTGCCAAAATGGGGCAAAAAGATTCAATGAACATTTAATCAATGGAATTTATTTTCTACCATATTATCACTTGTTATTAAATATCCTACCACACTTAGAATATAATGAATCCTTCCTTCCTCATGGGAGCCAATTCAAAATCCCACACTGTTACGGCATTGGCTCTGCGTGGGAGATCTGTGAGTCCTGAGTTTCCTATCAGCTCTGGAGACGGTTCCTTGAGGTCCAGTGACCCTTGCACAAATAACACACATATGAAAACCTCTCTACTGCCACTAGCCCCAACATACCACAGTGTCCGCAGAGAGATGCTTCAAAAAACAAGAACTACTATTTAGCCAAGGTAATAAGGGAGGAGGGCTGAGATCTGAGGTAATCATACCCCTTGAGTGGGCATTCTGAAGTCCTCTGCTCTGAAATGAGGATATTTCTTGGAATTTAATTTGCTTTTAGAAAGAACTATCTCTTTGCTGCTCTTTATAATCCTCTTGGGCTACTTCCCATCCTCTTGGAGGTTCTTTTTTGTTTATTACCATAATAGAGCACACTCAAATCTATGATGAGGACTGTACCCTTCCTTGGGGACTATACAATCTGTCACATCTGTCCTCTTTAAACAACTACAGCGGCACAGACACATTTTTTATAACAGGCAATTCAAAATCAGCTGAAGTTGACCCTTACAATGTTTCTGACATTATGAATAATTTAGTATAAAGATATGTGGTTGATTATCTATGCAAGTAGTACCCTCCCAAGATTCTTTCCTAATGGTAGCTCTCAAGTCTTCTGTTTTCCCCTTTGCCTCCATATTTCAAGGCTGACATATTTAGGAGGTAATACTATACATTTCCTTATGCCTATGCTGGAGCCAGAAGTCTCAATTTAACTTATTGTTTGGAACTAAAACCATTGAAAACCATTGAATTTTCCTTTCTTTTTGTGCCTATTTTATCTGCAAACTGCAAACTGTTTATTTCTTGCCTTTTAAAATCCATTCCTTTGATAAAAACAAACAAAAATAACATTAAACTAAACAGTAAAAGTTCTTACCTTCACCCTGAGAAAAGAAGTCAGTAGGCATGAAGTCCAATGTCCAAATAATCACAAATGACCTCTTTAATAATTGTCATATAACACAAATTTCCCATTCTTTACACCAGAATAGTAAATCTCTTCCTAGCTGTGCTATGTATTTTGGAGTCTGCCCATTCTCCTTCCAGCACCAAATTTTGCACCAGAATAGGCTACATGCACTAACTTTTAATAGAATTTCTCTTTAGCTTAACACAGTAGTATTTGAACACTCAAGTCTGGGTGACTTACAAAGAGAAAAGTCCCTCACAGTTCTTTCAGACGACAGGTGCTCCTTCATCTTAAAGATGGTGAGGGAGCACCCAACTATGGGATCAAACAAAATAAAGAATTCCTGTGGGCAACAACTAAAGGTGATTGACATGATTTTCTTCCTCATTCTGTTTATGACTTACATAATCCTAAAGTTACATGACTTAAACCTAATTCAAGAGAGGTTATTTCACAGTAAGGAGGCTGAGGCAGACAATTTGTTAGGCTTTTGAGGATAGCTTGGACTGATGAGACCCAGTCTCAAAAAATGAAACGAAACCAAACCAAACCAAGCAAAACTGAACCTAGCCAAACTGACACAAACAAAAAAACAATAAGACATGAGAAATCTCACTGTCTCTGTCTCTCTCTCACACAGAGAATGAACTAAGAAATGTAGATTACTTGAGTACTATAATAATTAGTTTGATTAAGTAGTTTGCTAATCTGCCAGAATGCAGAGGGATAAATTCCAGATGGATTAGGAATACACATTTCAACATGAGCTATTAAAGTTCTAGAAGACTAGCAGGGTTATTTGGGGATATCATAAACTTTACAGGGCATGAGAACTTCCATGGCTGAGTGGAGGAATGAGATGCTGGATCAGAACCAAGCAATTTTTATTACTCACAGTAAAAACAAGACACACAGCATGGATATGATGCCTATGCCAGCCCCAAGCCTTAATATTTCACCAGAAAGACTCAAAGGACTCAGAAAAAGCTGTTGTACCTGTTGAATGCTTTGTGCTTCTTGATCATCATCATCACCACCACCATCATCATGATAGGATACAGATTAAAATTAGCACAGGGAAAAGGGACATGACTTGTCTTTCAAGAGACAGCAGGTGTCTAGGCGTCCTCTCAGTGGAGTCATGAACACATTCCATGTAATGACATCATAAATATGAAATGTCAGTCTGAGAAGTTCACCTGAATCCTAGTGATGAGAGCTTTCTTTTTTCTTTCTTCTTTTAAAATGAGGAATCTGTCACAAAGGTGCAAACTGTCAACCTGTCTAATTTTAGCACTTCATGCTTCAGTCTCCTAGAGCAAAGAAATGCTGAACACAAATCCCTTTTCTAGCAGTTACTCATTGATCACATTGTCAACCTCGTTAATCTCCTAGGAAGCAGACAAGAGTGAGGTCCTAATTAGAGGATTTTTCCAGATTGTGCTTACTTCTTGTAATGATATATTACCATCCTTTGGATGTGTTTCCAAGCAAGCATGCTCACCTGAACCTTGATGTCTTAGGTTTATATTGGATCAATTTACATACACGCGCGCACACAAACACACACTTTCATGATTGATCTTTGCTACCTAGCCTCTGTTTCCCCAGGGTACACAATACTCATAAATCACTTTGCTAAACACACTATCTGATCAAACAAGTATTCAATTGGCCCAAGTTCTTACACATACAAACAATTCTTTTCAGTCAGGAATGTTAGTTCAGAGCTTGTTTCCCCAAAGGACCAGTCTGGAAGACAGGCAAATCTTGGGAATGTGCAAAGTTTGAGTAACCCGAGCCATATGGTGACCTTTCCTACATGCGTATATTGTTCAAAGTCCTGCAGAGGAAACACAATGAACCATTGTAGACTCTTGCAGATGTAGTGGATTGTACTGGGGGAGGGGAACATTTTGTGCTAGGAAGGTAGTACCCATCCTTTGTGATTGGTCAGCATAAATACAGCCTGAGAAGTGAACGTGGTGAAAAGTCAACAGGTCCTGGAATTCTTGGCATGTCGAGCAAGATAGCAGGGATGCTCAAGGTTTATGAGATTTTTTTTCCCTGCACTGGGTAGGCTTTCTTAAGCAAGACATAAAGCACAGACGGGAAGGTTAGTGACTTATGAACTCGGTTATGTAACAAGTTAAGTCTATAGCATAAATGATGTGGCAGCCATGGAACTGGGACACAGAATACAGGAAGCTGAGATCGTTAGAAAAATATGAACTGGATAAATTAGAAAACGAACCGTTCTTGACTCCATCAGAGAATTGAGGTAGGTGGTGAGAAAAAGTCAGATCTAGTACAGCCGTCTTCTAGGAGCCACAGGCTATGGTCTGGCTGACTTTTAATAGAGAACAGAAAATGCGGTTGCTCTAGAGCGGTAATTCTCAACCTATGGGTCACAATCCCCTAGCAAAGTAGGAAAATTAGAGTTATGAAGAAGCAACAAAAATAATTTTATGGCGTGGGGTCACCACAACATGAGGAACTGTATTAAAGGGCTGCAGCATCAGGAAGGCTGGGAACCAGAGCTCCAGAGGTGTTCAGCTCATCTTCTGAATTGTTACAGCTGAATGTGGACTAACTCTAGAGCATTTAGACAATGTTCCATCAGAATAAGGGAGCTCAAATACACCTCTGGACTTGTGGAGATGAGCCTACATTGGACACACAGGAGAAGACACACATAGAGGACAAGAGACAATCTTAAGATTGAATTTCCAATTGAACAACTTTCAGTCTGTTCATGGGCTCTTATGCAACAAAGCATTGGTTGACAACAAGGGAAATGAAATCGACCTGGTAATATTGTTTTCCAAATTACACAAAACTTTGTCTAGAGGAAGAGCCCTACATATGACAAACTCCTTTCATGTTCTTGCACTTGGTCTTATGACTTGGTGTTCTGACTAAGCAGGCCAAGAAGTGACACAAAATGGAAACCATATGACTTTGTGGCTAACCTGAGCCATGCTGAAAACCACGGAGGCTGCAAGAATCGTGCTTTTCAAAACTGGTACCAAATGTTGGTTAGACTGGCTGCCCATAATTTCCAAAGAGCCAAGAGCTGTTTGGTGGGCATTGTCTACTACACCAAAGCAGACTGTGACAGAGGGACAGATAACCGGCCCAAGGTTTCTTTCAATTAGTGTGTCCTCATGGCCCACCCATACTATAAAAACAATACCTCATTTTTCTTTATGGATGAATAATCACTGCATGTGAGGATCACCTTTTGTTTAGGTATTTTGGTTGTGTAGCTATTATTTGTACTATGAATATTCATGTTGAAGTTTTGATGTGAATGATTTCCTAGTCTTTGAAAAATACAGCTATGAACTCTGGTTACATAAAAAAATCCGATTGTTTGGTTTGCTCTTTAATGTATGATACATGAATGTATGTACACAACTGTGTGTGCCCATGTAGGGACCAGAAGCGTCAGACAATCCTTGGAGCTAGAGTTACAGGTCTTTTGCAGGACACCACCCTTCTCTTGGGTGCTGAGATTTTTGTCCCTCAAAAAAACCACACAGCAAATGCTACCATCTTTGAGCTATCTTTCAAGCCCCTTAATCTTTTATTTCCTGTTCTTCAAAGTGCATAATCTCAATCAACATAGGAGCCCTTCTCAACTTTTTAGTTTGGAAAATGCACTAACTTCAAAATTTTCTTTCTTGAGTTAGCTTAATCTCATTTTCAATCTGTCCACTTCAGTCTTGAGTGCTACAATACAGACAATGTGGACCATACCTTTCTTTTTAATTTCTAATTCATTATTTTATTTTTAGCTGCAACACATGCCCCTCCTCAAGTTCTGCTTATGGCTGTTTCCTGCTTCCTTGTGCATATCTCATTTTGTTGAAAATATGATACATTAAATACTTGTAAAATCAGTCCGCTATGCCTGTTTAAGGCTGGTGATGGTTTCTGAGTTATTTTTGAGTTCTTTTGATGTGTAAGGCCACAGAAGTCTGGTTCATGTAGCCTACTGTTGTGCTAACTCAACAGATTCCCTTAAATGCTGGAAGCAGTACTGTTGAGTGTCTGCACAGACATGTTTTCATCACTTATCCATTGGGGTGTGATCTCCCTGCCTGGGGAGAGTTGAGGGTGTTCCAGTTTGGTCACAGCCTGTGCTTGTGCATGATAACTCTTAGAAAACGTCAGAAACTTCCAAAGCCCTATCAACAGACATTAACTTCTTCAGATTTCCCTCTAGGCTTTTTGGTTAAAGTACTGCTTACCTCAACAGATTTCTTCTTCCTATGGCAGCCATAATGTCAAACTATCTGTATTTTTGAAGCTAAGAAAGTCTTACTCCCACCAAATACACACGTGGGCGACTTCCAGTGAGTAACCATCCAGTCAGGCAATTCTTAGGAATGTCCCTGTAGATGTAAATATGTGAGGTTGTTTATTTCCTGCGGGTGCCAGGCTACTCTTCGTTGTGATAACGCACTGCTGGTTTGCAAGGCTACCATGGGTCTATAGTAGGGGATGGGAAAATTAAGTTGTGACAACCATCATTGTTTTATCAAGAAGCTGGCAGTTTCTGACACAAACACTCCTTGAATTACTGCAAGACTGACTAACTCCTGAGTTCAGAGAACTCAGTTGGTTCCAGGAGTTTTGAGACCACATGTCATCAGCTTAGAGAGAAACAAGAAAACAAGTACTAAGTGGCTGACTCTGCTGTCTGCAAAGGTGTCAGCTAACACAGACCACTCTTGGGCTGCAGTACTGCAGAATAGAGGCATGCCTCCCCACTCACCAGTGTGAGTGTGATGATGTTGGCAGAAGTTGTGAGGCTAAATATCGAAGAGGAAGAACAGAGATGTGCAGATGGGTTCCCTCCTATGCAATGTGTGGGATCTCACACAGGCCCAGGCAATTTGTGGTACTAGAACAATATTCAAGTTTGGCAATCAGAGCCATAAACCTTGGGGTTTCAACCTTTGAATCATAACATTTTAGGCTCAAAACCCAGACATGTTTACACTAGAGAGTTCAGCAGTGCACCTACACTATGTTAGCTGTAGTACCTCTCATGTAACCCAAGCATCTCCAGACATTAGGGCAAAGTCACCAGACACAGAGCAGCCCTACCCTACACTAGCAGCTGTTCCACCTGGAGTCACTGCAGCAAAGCAGAAGCAAGCCAGGTGCTAAGAGAAGTCCACTGCCACTGTAAAGCCTCCATGGCACAACTGCAGCAGGAAATGAAATTGTGTATGTGTGCACATGTGTGCATACGTGCAGGGAATGACGTACAGTTTGAAGAAAAAAACCCTCACATCTATACCACAATCTGAATTCCATTGTTCTAGCTACTGACATTCCTATGTTCGTAAAACAGAACCTGGACTTGGTAGCTCATGCTTGCGGGCTGAGTGGAAGGCCTAACCTTCTTCTAAGAGCACTAAACGTGTAGGCAACATGGAATTCAGTGAGCATTCCTTAACTAACCAATGATCTTTCATGTCTTCCTCACCAGTAAAATAAAGACCTTTCAAAAAATTCTTTGCTCCCAGCTACCCATAAAGTAGGTGGCTCTTTAGGGGTCCCATCTCCTCTACTAAGACACTTTAATCCCACCTTTTTCTAGAACTTGTACTTAGGTTAACCCTTGAGGCCTCTTCTACAAACATTTCAATGCAAGGCGTGGTGGAACACATCTGCTTCTCAGCACTGGGAAAGTAAAAAACTAGGCTAGCCTGAGCCACACAGGAAGCTCCTCAGTGATAATGCATGAAGAAGACCTAGTATGTCTAAGGTCCTAGTTCAATTCCCAGTACTGTGCCCTCAAAACTAATATATAGCTAGAATAACTAGACACCATGTTCTTTCCTGTATCACGAACATTTCCTATCCAGTACTTGCTCTACTGTTAACATATACAAGTGGACAGAAGAAATTAGGATTTCTAGATATACGTTCTTCATTAAGTGGAGATACTTATTGCAGGGGTGGAGAACTCAGTTTTTGATTACTATACGTAAGCAAGCTGCTTAACACTACGTTTTTATCACATCATTGTGTGTGAGCGTATTTACACAAGCATGTGCCACACTTGTGTATGTGCAGAGAACAACTTTTGCGAGTTGGCTCTGTCCTTACACTATGAGAACTTCAGGGGTCATGAGCTTTGCAGGAGTGAACCACCTCATCAGCCCCGTTTTGCCTTATTTTTTAAGACAATAGGTAAAGTTTAACTAGTGAAATATATTTCATAATCATGGATGATAGGACCTAAAATTTTGTAACTTCTAAATTATATAAGAAATAATTTGGGGCAAACACTCTTATAAATCAAATTTAGAGATCTGTAAAAGATTATATAAACACTCCCCAAACTCACACATAAAAGGAAAGACAAGCAATATATTTTTTAACTTTCAAAAGGACTTATTTAAATAGGCTAGTTAAAAATAAAAACAAAAATTTTGGCAGAAAAGGCAGGAATCAATCAATCAATCATCAAATGTGATTTTTTTCCCCTGAAACACGGCGATTCTGGACTGCTGCTCTTTCCTTCTCCTGCTCGCTTCCCAAGAAGGGTGCAGAGGAGCCTGCACCTGTTGCCTCACACGCTCAAACCCTCTGCGTGCACTCTTTCCAAACTCATTCTTGACTGGAAGTTCATCTTCTGGAAAATCTGGGAAGAAAAAGAAAAATTACAACTAAATATACCTGAAAAGGACAGACTTCATCTCTTCACACCAATTACTAAAGAAGAATCTCATTTTACTTAAGACAAAATATCTCACAATTTAAAGTGGACACCCAACAGAAATCCTTACTTAGTCTATTCTTACAGTAGCATCAAGAGAGCATGCAGTTTTGCTACAGCCAAAAGGAGCCAATACAAAATGATACTGCTAATGCTAAGACACGCCATCTCCACTTGTGTGGGTACACAGTTCAGTAACTATTAGGAGACGACGACTTTCATCCTCTCCCGGTGCCACAGTACTGCTTATCAGCTTGAGCAGTCATGAATACACACCTGGAACTTTACTCTTCGGGGCCTGTTCTCTGGGATCCCTAAAAAAGAAAAGGAAAACAAAAACCAAAACCAAAACACATTAGGAGCTAAAAGACAAAACAAATCCTCTGATGACAGAATGAATGATAAAATTCACCCTCAGCATCCACTTCCTCACTCCACCACCAGCCAATAAAATAATCCTACACACACACACACACACACACACACACACACACACACACACCCTTTCCTTTACACCCACACAGGAACAGGAACTTCTGTTCAATGGAAAACAATCCATTTTGTCTATCTTGCTCTTGAATACTGTCTATATAAAGAACTTCAAAATTTTTTAAAGAGGAGAATGATTGATAATGAAAATTAGCACCTACATTTTTAGTGCAGAACCAAGAAAAATCTAGAAATCTTTTGGGCACAACTGAGTTAGATAGGTAAATATTTTAATTACTCTCAAGGCTTTAACACTGTTTGAAGTTCTTTTCTATGCTAGGTTTAGAAAAAGTATTTACATTGTATTATTTTATTAAAGAGTATCTCTGACCAATAAATATACAGAAAAAGGGTCATTATTGATGATATCAGCTAGTCACAGCCTCTAGTTAAAAATGCACCAGTATCCTCTATCAGTTAAGAGTGATAAATGAAACTCGAGGGGAACAGCTGTGAAAAGTGGCTATCAGCAGAGATAAACTGGGTGGAGGAAAGCAGTCGCATGACTAAAACATGGGAGAAAGCCGTGTTTGGAATGGCAGCAGGTTATCACACATTTATCAGGAAATTCTGTTTATCAAGACAGACGTGAATATTTTTAAAGCTTTACATTAAAAAAAAAACTCCCAAATTTTGAAAGTCTGATAAATAGAAAGAACAAAACCAAAATTACTCAGGCATGTCTCTGGGCTTAATGGACCCTTTCTCATGAGGCTGGGCAGTGTACCACTGCTGTATGTGTATCTCTACATGTTCCCAATTATGACGACGAAGAAAGAGTACCAGCCCAAAACCCAGCAAGGCTGACACAAAGCAGGTTCATGAGGAGTTTTTCTCCCAGGCTGTGAGGATACGCAGCCACTCCATATAGTAAACAAATGAATTACATCAGTTCAGAATAAAAAATGCCCTTACCTTCTGGAGCTTTTAGGTCCAGACAAAGAGTGGAAAAACACGGATTCTAACTTCCGGGCTTCTGGGATCAGCTTGTGTTTATCATTTCGTGTATCCCAAAGGGTTTCAAGGGTATTAGCTTTGGGCGAGACCTTTGGGAGGGGTTTCTGTTCCTTAGCTGAGGACCGGACACTATTTTCCTTCTTTCGTGTCCGTCGGACTTTTCCAATGAAGAAGTCATCACCACTGTCACTGTCCTCGGACGCAGAAGACTGTTTATAGAACCTTTCTTCAGTGCTGTCGTCGAAGTACTCCTTCTCACTCTCACTTACCTCTTCCTCGCTGCCACTGTTCTCACCAAGGGTGCCTTCACTCTCTGTCTTTGTGGTTTTGGGTGAGGCTTGCCGTTTTGAGTCAGTGGATGACGCCTTCTGGTGTGCAGAAGTAGCCATGGTATCCTTTCCCGAAGGCATCCCTGGAGAACATGGACTGGCCTCTGCTTTGGGTCCATGCTCTATCATGGCCGTTTTTTCTTTTGAATCACTTACAGCTTTCTTTGTTACTGTTTTAGCTTCTTTTGCTCTCTGCTCCCTGTCAACAGTTCTCTCATGATGCTGTGACTCGCCTGCATCATCCTTTGAACACCGAGTGTCCTTACACTGGCTTTCTTCTGAAGTATTCTTTGATGACTGAGCTTCAGGAGCATTCTGCCTTGCATCTTTGAAGGCTTGCACAGCAGCTGCAAGAATATAGTACATGACTCTGTTTCAGCATTGGCACAAAGTGTCACTGTCCCCACACAGTACTGCTTCAGCTATGTGGAAATAATTGAGAACTGGAATCTACAGTATGTATGGAATAGGAGTTTGAGGTGACAAAGAAATCTTTTCATTACTTAAATACCAAATTCATAAAAGGAACACTAGAAAATATCCATCTTGAATTGAAAAATGAAAAGAAAATTACTTTCTTCATGGCTTTGAATTATGAAGTAAAAATACACTGAAAGCAATAAAATGACAACATTAATTTATGTTAATGCCACTGAATTAGTTTCAGGCCTAAAAATAAGTGGCATTTAATCTTTGACAAAGCACTTAATTTCATAAACATTTTATAAAAGATGCATAAAAATTATATGACATAATATGACTGTATCAATATTTAAAACAACTATTCAACAACTATTCAACATGCCTGTATATATATTTTCTATAATTTTTACATATAACACATATTAAAATTTGGGAAAATACAGATTTAATCTTTTTTATATCACAATCTTTTATACTTGCATATCCATAGCTTTATACATTAAAGATATTTATCATCTATCCAAAGTCATATATCGAAATGCATTAGGCACACTATTGTAATTTAACTCTTACCTTTTAGCACATCTACTTTTTTCTTTAGAAGAGGGTGAACTGCTAATCTGGCAATTGCTCTTTCAGTTGCAGTAGAATCTGGCTGAAAATTGAAAGCAACAAATATACAGCATCAAAATTAACCTGTCACTATTGGAAATGACTGAATTGATATCTATCAATCTTTGTATGTCTTAGGTCAGACTTTGCAAATATTCTCTCTAGATAAGTTACCCATGGAATCTACTCTAAAGACAAAGATCACATTGATAAAAACATAACTCATCTTTAATAATTAAAATGTTATAATTTAAGTCTATAAAAACTAAAAACTGTGCCAGACATCATGGGCTCTGAAAAAAAAAATCATAGCTTTTACTTTCAAAGAGTTTAAACGTCTAAGAAAATGAAGTTAATAAGAAAAGATTCAATTACTGTATTAGTGCTAAGTCATGAGGACAATAGTTAAGTCTCATTTAATGGAACCTAGAATAATATGGTGTTCTCTCTTCTTGTTTTGAATGTCTTCTCTCTTTGGTGTATGCTCAGAACACAACCCGGTACCTAGCTCATTACTAACACTTCATAAATATTTGATTACTGGATAGGAACATAGAAGCATGAAGCATTTATTGTGTTTACAAATTAAGACATTCATGACACATGTCACTTTTTTACATGGCCACTGGGACCAACCTCATCCACATTCCTAGCTCTAGCTCCACCCCGGGATCAGGCTGATCTCCATTGGCATGATCTAAACAGAGATCTTTAAAGGTCCTCCTAAGGTCCTCCTACAATCCTTTCCATTTCCTGAATATATTTTCCCTTCTAGGTGCTCAGATAGATACTGCCATCAGTTTTCCTTCCTTCACATAGCACAGGTCACCTTAAAGTTTAATCTGGATTCCTATGAAGGCAAAATTTAATATTTCAAGCATTTCTTAATTTTATTCCCAAGAAAGCAAACTTAACATCTCAAACTTTTATTAAGATTTTTCTTTGACAGTATGTATTTCAATTTTAGAATTCAAGTATTAACAAAAGACTATAGGTCAAGGGCTTTTTTTTTTTTCTCAACAAAACAAACCAACAATCTTGACTTCAAGATCATTTAATTTAGCTATGTAGAAACAAACTGGATCTCAAATTCAGGTTTGTGTATTTGGTCTAATATGCCCCATAAGTTTCCTCTAATTCATAAATCATTAGTGACAACTACAAATTATTGTTTAAAGTCCACAAAAGTCTTCTCAGAAAAAAAAAAAAAAGGAATAAAAACATTAGTGAAAAAAACCAAACCCAACCTAAAGGCTTGCAAGTAGTAGTGGGCACAGGCCCATCTCTCGGCTGCTCTGCCGTCTGCACTTGCATATGTGCAGTGCAGGAACTAAGGGGCAAGGAACCCTGCAGATCCACCCTCGTTGCTCGAGTCCCTCTATCCATTTACAGACTAATTGTGACTCTAGTTTAAAAGGCTAAAACTTCTCCACAAATGACTAATCCAAATCAGAAGGTGATAAACTTCATCGGAGAGGCAATGCCACAGGGACACATAAAAGGAGCAGACCCCGTGCAGTAATTCAGGACTTTGTGAAGCCTTCACAAGGTTAGGCTGGATGAAGGAAACCACAGCTTTTCCTTATTTAAAACTGACACAATGTTTGCCATGGAAAATTCTCAGGAAACTGTGGTTTTTCACACACCTCCAGTTTCTTCCATTTCAAATAAATTAAACAAAAAAGTGGAAAACACCCTCATCTTTTAATGGAAAAATTTTATTTTGGCAATTGGGCATTTATTATCAACACAAAGGCATTTGTTATTCAATTTTGAAAAGAATTCTTCAAATATCCTCTGGATGAAAACAAGTGTTTAAGAGAGAAAGTTCACTTTATGCGCTGCACTAATCTTGGAAAGGTCACCTAAATAAGCTGTAAGCCCACGGGTAGAGGAAGAGTATGAATATTGATGCTTGTAATAATAAACTGGGACTAAGTTCACTCCACTTTATCTAAAGAAATAAATCAACAAGTTATATTGTCAATGCACAGCTCTCACCGTAGAGAGTGTAAGAGGCAGTTTACTCTGGAGTCACGGCCCAAGTACACAGACTTAGGGAACCCCAGCATGAAAGCAGTTTCATGCCATTTTATAGTTTCAAAGTCAAAGAACAAAGACATTCATGAATCAGGGTGCTTTAAAACACACTGGGGCACATCAGAAAGGCAGTCACAGTTAGGAGCTGTTTTAGGAGGTTAAGGACCCCTTGAGGAGCAAGGCCTACTGACTGGCACCACTAGTGAGCCTGGATGTACAATGCTGCCTGTATCCATATTGTTTGTTTCTGGACCCATCAAAATGTAACCAAGCCTCACAGGAAGCCATTGCCATGGATGGAGAAACCTTAGCTACCAAGCCTTCTACATCATGATGGACAGATGTAAAGGCTGCAGCAGCAGCCTTTACCCTTTTAGACATGTAAGTGCTACTGAGGCACTGACTGTGAGACTCTGGCTAACAGACTGCTCTCTAACAGATGCTGCACCAGACAAATACCTATCAAAGGAGCTGTTAGAGACCAGATATCCAGCTCCTCACACCCACCCTGACTCTGGGAAACACTTGAGCACCTGGCTCTCAGATGCCAATCACCCTGATCCTCAGAAAGTGTAAGAGACTCCAACTCCTGACCTCAGGAGCTCTCAATTCTTCTAAGAGAGCCTGCAAGTTGTCCTTCCTGATGCTAGGTTCTGCATTCTCCTCGGACACTCCATCACGCTGTTGCTGTACATCTGCCTATCTATGCTATTGATACTCTAGTAATAAACTCTATACCTCTAACAATCCATCTCAGTGAACAATAGCTCCTTAATTTTTTTGAGCCAAAATATATTCTCTCTCTGTTTCTGTGGTACTTTATAGAGATGAGAAAAGAAATGGATACATTCCAAACACAGAATGTTTTTATGTCTTTGTTAAACATACAATATAGCATATGAAAAACAATGATAAAAAATGGAGGGACTGGAGAGATGGCTCTGCAGTTAAGAGCACTGGCTATGCTTCCAGAGGATCCCAGTTCAATTCCTAGAACCCACATGGCAACTCACAAATGTCTGTGGTTCCAATTCCAGGGACATGCAGGCAGAAACAACAATGCACATAAAATAAGAGTAAGTACAATAATAAGTCTCTTAAAAATAAATAAATGGGCTGGGTGGTGGTGGTGCATGCCTTTAATCCCAGTACTTGGGAGGCAGAGGCAGGTGAATCTGTGAGTTCAAGGCTAGCCTGGTCTATAAGAGCTAATTCCAGGACAGGCTCCAAGGCTACAGAGAAACCATGTCTCAAAAAACAAAAATAAAAACAACAAAAATAAATGGAAAAACAAGAAGTAGAAATTGATGTTTAACATCACATAGTTGACATATAGTTTAAGTAGGCAGAGGGCAAGATGAATCTTTCAACAAAACAACATACTCCTTTAACACTGCCAATCCACTGGACATTATGACAGGAAGAGATGAATTCTGGGGGAAAGACCTGAGTATCAGGAACTAGAAGAAAAGATACTTTAACTTTTGGTAGTGGTTTAAGTTAGTTTCTTATAATACTTTCCACTACTTTATTCAGCTATGAAAATTTGGTAATGGAGATGGGAAAGAGGTGAATCCAGAAGACAATGAGAGAACACTAAGCAGCAGATGAGGCGCTCCACACTGGTACTGTGTCTCTACCACACACATACCTTTTTGCAAGTTTTTTCAAAGCTGATATCATCACCAAGAGCGGATTTAGTTATGACATCAGGTTTCAATTCCTGTGAAAGAAACTAATTTTAGTTAATCTATGATCATTGTGATTAAAATTCCTTTTCTATCTTGATTTAAGAAACCTGGTATTTAAAATGTTAACTTCTAGAAAAGGAGTATAATATCTATCACAGTTAAGAAATTACCACACACTAGAAAAGCTATGACAAATGCCTTTAAGTGTTGTGTCGATTCTGATCACATCAAGACACAAGTTCAGTACATTTTCAAGGACTATAGGTAACCCAAAGATTCCTATGCAGTCAGAAAGTCTTTAAATGTCAAGCCTACAAAAACAAATACAATAAATAAACAGTTTTGAACTTGTAGAAACGCAAGGAATACTATATACATAATCCTCTGTAGAAGGGTACTCTAAAAGACGAACATCAGCCTGGGAGAAGTAACTTTATTAGCAATACTTGTAGTGAGTATGGATTTGCAGGTTAGGAGTAACTGTACTGATACAGAAGAAAAGCACAACAGATGAACTTATTACTTTGACTACAAAGAAAAATTACAACTGGAAAAACAGCAGAGGAACAGAAGGAGGTTGTAGAGGTCATTACTTTACACATACGGAAAAGTGGCAGGAGCCAAAGGAGGCCATTAAAATGGACAGACTATAAAGAGAGATTACCCAGAGTAGCTGGGTTCAATTCCCAGCATCTGCATTGCCTCTCACAACTGTTCCAGCAATATAGTACCCTTTTCCATCCTCTACGGGTACCAGGACAGAGGTACACATACACACACTTGTATCCATAACACTCATACTAATCAGAGAATGCTTAGAGGTTAAGAGCACATTCTCCTCTCCCTGAAGAGCAGAATTTGATTCTTAACACCCCATCACATGGCTCACAACTGTCTGTACCTCCAGCCGCAGGGGATCTGACTGATACTTCTGGTCACTTCAGGAAACTACACTCACATGCACATGCCACCAAGATTAGAACTAATAAACCATGAAGCAGGACCAGAGTTCCGAAAAGAGACCAGGAGAAGCTACTGGTCAAAGTGCAGCCCACTTGCAGCAGAAGAAAGACCCCAGCAGTTTAGAGATGCCAGTACCATGGGGTAATAGCCACACAGCAGCAGCAGCAGTAGCTGTGGAGTGGAGCCAGTCTGAGCCTAGCAGACAAGGTGTGTGTGCGGCAGAGAAAGGAACTGGGGAAGTAACCCAAGACCTTTGAAGTAGTCAAAACGATCATGAGTGACTCCCAGACATTGGACTGCAGGTTATTTTCACTGTTGGGAGTTTGATTTTGCTTTGTTAAGAGAAAAATGTGTGCCCTAGCTTCCTCCCTCTTGAAATAAGAAAGCATTTTTGATTTTACAGAAGCCCAGAGACTGAAATTTTAAAGAAACTTTGGTGTTTTAAAGAGACTGTTGAAGACTACGGGGCATTTAAAGTTATTTGAGTTGCCCATTAATTTGACATTTTAGAGATAAATGAAAAAGAAAGGTTTCTATCTAAATAGTGATGTGTTTGCATGTGAAACTGGCAAGGCTAGTTTCACATCAACTCGACACAAGCTAGCACTATTCTGAAGGAAATCTCAATAGAGAAAATGCTCCCACTAGATTGGTCTGTGGGCAGTACCATACTTGGGCTGATAGTCCTAGGTGCTATATAAGAAGGCGGGCTGAGCAATCCATAGGGACCATGCCAGTACGCAATGGCCCTCTATGCCCTTTTCATTAGCTCCTGTCTCCAGGTTCCTGCCCTGACTTCCTTTGATGACAGACTGGGATGTGGAAGAGGAAGTGAAATAAACCTTTCTTCCAAAGTTGCTTTTGGTCATGGTGTTTTTATCACAGCAACAGAAACCCTAAGTTAGTAGATAACTGAAGCGGTCATGAAACACGTGTAAAAACAAAGGCTTAAAAGATATTGGTTTTACATAGGTACGATAATCTATAAACCACTGTCTCTTATACACAATTATTAATCCAACTTACTCTCTTCTAGCCAGTTACTCCTCTATTCTCCTTTCAGTTTCATCATTTTAGAAAACACAATTGCTCAAAAAACTTTCAAAAGTCTTTGAAATGAAATGACTCCTGCAATTTAAGCACCTGCTAGACCTTTACATCTCCACTCATTCCGTAACCAGTAATGCTGGTTACTTTACTAAAGACACACACTAACCATGTATGTGATGCTGCAACCAGGGAACTGAGATGGAAACTAAACGATGAGACATAATAACATCCATTCTGAAGAAAACCGAGATAAGTAAAAAATAAAACTGATGCTCAAACAGTGCAAGCACAGTTCAGTGTACCAGAGCTAGAGAGAGCTGAGAATACTGATGTGCGTGCTGTCTGCAGTGCATTCTCCTTACCAGAGTACTGAGTTCTAGGTGTTTCATATTTATGCTTTTAGTTCTAAGTGTCTCCAGTGTCTTCACTCTGTGGCATCTCCCTAAAATCGTGTTAGACACTAATCAACCATTTCCCTAGATGTGGGCCCCTTTTAACTTATGTCTGTTCCCAACAGAACAGTGCACCTGCAGAGACATCAGAAATCTACAGCACACACAGTTTCAAACTAAGATGTGCAAAACCTGCATATACAACATGGAATTCTCACAACTTTCCTAGAAACATCCTTTACATTTTAAAGTTTATTTAAAGTTTATGACAATTTTATGACTAATCAGACATATGATCCTTAAAAATTAAGATGCTTTCTTAGACCATGATGAATAGAGAAGAACCAATGTTCCCCAAACCTGCAACTTCTATTATCATGTACTTCAACAATTATGAGGGTTTAAAAAAGCAAGTTTCACTCCCTAATTCACCCCACATAAAAATGATAGCTTAAAGGCTTGGCTGCTTTAGAAAGGAAAAGGGAGAGCATGTAAAGGAGATGTCTACGACTTTACTAGAAATCGTCAGAATTAAAAATTGCAGCAATTTTCCTTGCTTGAAATAATTTTTATTTTATTCTTAAAGATTAATTTATTTTTTATATATGTATGAGTATTTTGGCTGGATGCAAAATTTTTACATTAACAGTTGACAGTGCTTTGGATGCTTTCATGGTTATTAGGATATAGGGAAAAGTTCAGATTTCCAGAATTACAAAACTTGAATTCATGTGCATGCAGTGCCCACTGAGACCAGTAGAGGGTGCTGGGGCCCCTAGAACTGGAGTTAGATTCAAAGCTGCCACGTCGGTGCTGGGATCTGAACCAATGTCTTGTGAAGAGTGGCCAGTGTTCTTAAACATGAAGCCATCTCCCCAAACCCTATAAATTTTTATATTCAAGAAAAACACACATTAATGAGCTTCTCTTGCTATCACAACATATTAACTTCATGTGCATAGTACTGGTGTGCTATAACATATATAAAAACCCAAAGTGCATGATTTTCATCATAAAAATTGTTGTTATATGTTCAAGTTGATATGTGTAAATATTTGAAACTAATCTGTCTCAGTGTTGCATGCTTTTTCTTACTTGTGAATTCTAAAATTTAGGGATACATAAAATCACATATGTACTGATGTGGGATTTCCTTCTGTGTGCTGTGATTATCGTTAATGAATAAAGAAACTACTTTGGACCCAGGGCAGAACTTAGCTAGGCAGGGAAAACTAAACTGGATCCTGGGAGAAAGAAGGGCAGAGCAAGGAGAAGCCATGTAGCCCTGCTGGAGATAGACACAGGAACTTTACTGGGTAAAGCCATTGCCACGTAGCTTTATACAGATTAATGGAGATGGGTTAAATTTATATGTAAGAGTTAGCCAAAAAGAAGTTAGAGCTAATGGGCCAAGCAGTGTTTTAAATAATATAGTCTCTATGAGATTATTTTGGGGCTGAGCAGCCGGGAACCAACAAGTGGCCTCCACCAACAATGTACTGATGACTTTAGAGCAGAAGCAGAATTGTCCGGGAACCATGGGGAAAGCTGACAACAGGGATTTTAAGCCACTCACAGGGAATAATACGCACTAAGTACATTGTGTACTTGCATAAAAAAATCTTATGTTACAATATATAATTTTAAAAGATCAGTTTAGGGGAACGGAGAGAGGGTTCAGTGGTCAGCAACAGTTATTGCTCCTGAGGAAGATACGAGTTTGGTTCCCACCACACATCTGATAGCTCACAACTCAGCTTCTGGGCTCTGCTGCCATCTCCTAGCATTGAGTACCAGGCACACAGACATGCAGGTGAAACACCCACAGACAGGAGAAACATGAGTAAACAAATCTTTAAAAAAAAAAAAACAACCCTAAGCTTAAAGTGTACAGAAGAAACAATTAAAAATCTGTTTCCAATTCACCCCCAAACTGAGTCCATACCCATTTATAGGAACGGAATTTCCTGCTGCTTTTCTTTATTGCTATTTCCTACAAAATATGCTGGTGATAGTTTCTTCTTTTTCAAGTACGCATTATATCTTACTGGAGTTATGATAGTATTGCTTGTTCAAATTTTTTTACATTAATTAATGGTGGAACGTGCTTTGGATACTTTCATGGTTATTAGGAAACACACTGACAAGGTGAAAAGTTCATGTTTCCAGAATTACAAAACTTGAAAAATCAAATAAAAACAACACCCTTCCCCCCATTCCACACCGAGCACTTTGTACTTCTCAATCTTTTATACCTACTCAGTTGAGAAGGAGGTTTATTTGGATATATCAATTCCGGAATCAGTTCTTTACTCAAAATCTTGGTGTGTACTGTAACCTCAACCGTAAGAGCATTTCATGTTTACTAACTCATCCTGCAGCCTGGCCTGCTTCCCCCAGGGACAGGAAGTTTCAGAGAACAGACACCACTTACATTTGAAACATCTGCTTGTATTTAGAAGAGTAAGGTGAGGCCACCATATGCTTGACATAATGTCCTCATTACAGAACCTACAATGAAACAATATTAAGGGGTCAGGAATATGGCCTATTCAAAGCTCAGACTTCTAGTTGAAGAAACTGCATTCCAGGAAGTAAAGTGGGATTTCAATTTAAAAACTACTTTTTAAATGGTGTTTCCTGAGTATGAGTGGGGCAGTATATATTGATCTCTGTAACTTTAGGGTCTTGTCCACTTTAAGAAGAAAAGTTCTATGTTTTAACAAATGAAATAGGGGATGGTGAGATGAGTCAGTGGGTAAAGACACCAAGTGCAGAGACTCTAGTTTGATCCCCTTGACCGACATCACAGAGAAACACGAGATCCAACAACTTTAAGTTGTCTCTGACCTCTATGCATCTGCCGCGTACTCACACATGCAAAAACAAATAACACTGCAAAAACACAAAGTTATATGGCCATAGGACACTAAGGTGACTTTATATAATGAAAAACTAGCTTTTTTTATCTTTATATTTCTGACACTTAACTTTATTACTTATTAATAATAAAACCCCTCAATTTCATATCCTTTTAGTAATAATAGTTTAGCATCAAAAAATGCTGTATTAAAAGCCACTTAACCATCCATATGCCAAGCACATCACTACCTGTTAGGAGAATTAACTGAGGAAGCCAACTCACTAGTTTAAGACACCTTCACTGAGCAGGAACACCGTGAAAACAGACCACAGCAGAAACGTAATGAGCTCCACTGAGAGGGTCAATAGCTCTGGAATCAGAATGATAGTGCTGGGAAAGGTTTCTTAGGGCTAGTAACATGAAGAGTAAGGTGTTAGGGATCAGGGAGGTGGTTTAGTAGACAATGTTGCTGCCATGTAAGTAGGAAGATCTGAGTTAATCCCCAGCATTCACACAAAAAGCCAACTAAGTTTGTTGTACTATCTTGCTTCAGTTTTACCTTTTTGGTCTCCAGATTAGTAACTTGGGGATCTTTAAATTGATAAGCTGCCTCTCAATGAGAAAAATCTTGTTTCAGAAGCCAGTATGTACATTAACACCTTAAGAGTATGAATACTATCAAAAACAACATCAGAGAAGGATCCTTAACCCTATGTAAAATTAGAACCTATCATTTTACAGAATCATAAAGATCTGGTGGTCCCTGTATCCTACACTGTGGCCAAAAAGAAACTACTCCCACTTCTAAAAATATATGGGGTTTTCTCCATGAGTATGACATCTTGCAACAAAATACCCTATTATCATACCAAGCAAGTATAAAACAGTATGTCATGAGCACAACTATTAAAGTCTAGTGGTATATGAGCTAAAGAAACAACTCCTCTAGAAAAATAGTAAGTAGAGGTTCTCCTTCAAATTTAATTGTGTGACCGTGAATCTACTGTTTTGTGGTTATTTCTGATACTCCCATATGTATGAAAAACACTTCCTTTCAAAATTATGAAAGACCTTTCAACTAAAAAAATGATAAGTATATTTACCCCTTTCAGAAAAGACAAGTTCTGTAAAAGTACCATAAATCAGAAATGAAATTAACACTTTAGCTAAGTAAACAAATAGTTGATCTAGTATTCCTAGTCTGGATTTTTATATTTAATTCAATTACAGCCATATTTAAATCAATACAAAAAGAGGTTAAAAACAAAAGAAACAAGATAAAAGTCAGACTGGCCAACCCAGAATACCCTAATCCCCACCAGGAATTCAAATCTGTATACTATAAAGTATATGAATTCAATACACAGCCAGTAAACTGTGGCTCTATGTGGTAACGCAAGTGTTCTCACATAGCGGGAAAAACAAATGTAGTAACGTTGCAACATCTCTAGGGTCTGACTTCCCTGTTAATGAAACTAAAGAACAGAAAACAAGCTTCATATACAGATCAGATACGACAACTTGCTAACTAACAAAAGCATATTATCGAGTTACAAAATGCAGGTGTTCTAAAGACCTAAAGGAGTCACTTGTCACCAAACTCCTTATAGACTGCAAATCTGTTACGTGTACTGAATTCGTCTTTCAGAGAAATCAGCAATTATCTAGTGGTTCAAAATCTGTGAACAACTAAAATTACAAAGATTAATGCCGAGAAGAAATCACAGGAAAGGATCCACCAAAAGGATTTTATATCTGACAGTCCTATAGGAGTGACAACTACTACTAAATATGGGGCTCTTCATCCCCACGAGTCACTGCCCATCCCCGTAGTAACAGGGATAACTGCATCCTACTCAACACTTTCTCATTCCTCAAAAAGGGCAGTGAATATGAATAGCACTGATAATTCAACTCAATTAAAATATTGTTAAAGAATTCTTTTGCTCTTTTATCTAAACCAAACTTGAAAGTTACACTAAATTATAAGTCAAAACTTACATAGAAAATTACCTGCAATTAAGATAATTGCTGGTACCAAATGTTGTTTTTAAGTTCAGCAATAAAAAAAGTCTTCCAGACATTTAATGGTATGTCATTTTGTAAATGAAAGTTTCCACAAAAAAAAAAAAAAAAAGGGCAGCAAGAAGACCTAAAAATTATGCTAGTGAAGAGTCTCGCTGAAAAGACGACAGTATGAACCATGCTGGTTCAACACTACATTTATTTTAAGTTCTACAGAACCTCATAAAATGCTGACACCACTACACAGAAATTTATTGAGTTGGCAACAGGAGAAGCATGATGTCAGCAACCAGCATCACTATCCCTGTTTCCAAATAGCACAAACCCTTTAACTATTGACCTTAGTTTAGAATACACGCCTCAGTAACAGTAAAAATAAAAGCCTTAGACATGAGGCATCATAAAACACAAATGAGTTTAGTTTGGCAGTTTCAACTCAAGTTAGTCTAGTACTTAAAAAACAGGGAACGATGCAAGCTTACACATATCAGTTTTGCAAACGTGCCGCTCATCACCAAGTTCAGCCACACAAATAAGCCTTGAGCAACCCAGGAGTCCTTAAAGAGGCACCATGCACACAAGACACAGGCTGCCAGGAGAAACAGCATACAACACCCACTCGCACGCCCTTACCTTCATGGCGTGAATTTCTTCAAGCAACCTTTGGGCTCGTCTCTGATTTTTCAACAGTGCATCTTCAGTGCCCCTGCAGAGACAATTATTACCAAGGAAAACATGAGCTTTAGAGACACGACATAAATAGTGTTTTAAGTTTTTGAGAAAACCTATGTGACAAGCATGCACCCTGTACTGCTGTTTTCAACCCCCTGCCACACACATCTGCTGTCACTGTGTTGGAAATGGGAGGAGACACATGCTATACTGGAATCATTTCACTGGCTGGTCGATTTCTCTAGTCTTTTAATGACAATGTCATTACAAATGTTACAGAAACTCTGTTTAAAGTAATAAAAGCCTCCTAAGACACAACTAAAGGCAGAACAAACAGAAAACCACAAACCACACATTTGAAGGCTATCTAAATCCTTGTGCTTAAACCCTAAGAACTGCAAACAGCTTTTCATTGACACTACTGATGCTGGAAATAAAAAAGTATTCTTTTATTCAAAAACATCACAGCATATAATAAACTGACAAATATTTCCACAAGATCCCAAAAATTTCAAAATACTAGGACAAAGAAACGTGAATGAAATAAAGTCATAACTGATACATAACTGATACATCTTAGACTTACTAACACTCAGAAATAACTTCTAGTTACATAAAGCACACAAGGAACCCTGCAAGCAATTTCAATTTGGAAGGAGGAAAGGGAGAACTTTCTTAAAAATGGAAGATATCATTCTGTATCTTAAGCAAGAAAGGTTCAAAACATACATACAAGGGCACGCTGAACAGCTCACTCCACCCTAGATCATATCATAAAAAACTTCAGAGCTGAGTGCATGCTCATTTTCCTCTAAAATACTTTTGCAAACATTTTATTAGTTACAGGATTATTACTTCACACAACTAACTTTTTGGACTTCAGTCTGCCAACACTCCTGACAAGTTTTCGGATAACCAAAACTCGAACTCGCTTCACTTCCTTTCTCAGCTTCACAACCTTGGAGGAAAAAAAGATGAAATTAATAGGAAAAAAAGACATTTTGAATATTATTACACAGAATCTTACAAGCTCTGCTTGACATTCTCAGACTGATGCAAACTTCTTCCATAAACAGTGTAGGAACACAAAGGTAAAAAAACCGTACTGCCAGGGATCGAAGGAGAACCACTAGGATTCTATTTTTAAAGACACAACATTTCCAGCAATTAGCATTTTACTGTTATACTCAGTTAGGATTGGAACATACTAAATTACGATTTTTCTATGAGAAATACCTTTCACCTCCGAGATCAAAGACTCATCTTTATCATTTTTGATATCACACCTTCACCTTTCTTCAACAGTTTCATGGAACTGTTTGGATGTTCAGGGCTTTCTCTTAGTCTCTGGCCTCAGTGTGCTCGTACTGATCATCACAGCTGTTACCCCAGTCTTCCTGAGATAGGAAAGAGTCTTCCTATGAGCCTGTTACCATCTATTCTTCCTGACTGGCTCAACATCATTTATGAAGGTCACAAATTTCCTCTTATTGCAATTAAGGTAACCTCTACAACTTACTACAAGAACAGTAATGTCTTACTTTTAATCTAATTATGTCTAATGTGTCTCTCCCCAGATAATTCCATGAAAGTTAAAAATCTTATTTTACTCAACATTATTTCTGAACATTGAAAATAGTACACGGCATACAGACCATGTTCAATAAAACTTGCTGAAAACCAGAATAGAGTACACCTTCTGTTCATTTACTGCTTCAGATGTCTACTATATTAAAAGAACACAATCACAATCTTTCCCACTAGAATACAGCAATATCTTTGAAATTTTCTTTTTGTTTTTACTATAGATTTTCTTCGAGGAATAAAAGAACCCCACAAAAACCACTATCCATGAACACCAAGTCTTTTACTGCCCTTTCTCACGAGCAGAAGATAGGCATTGTGGCTACATCTGCAATCCCATTGCTTGGGATGAAGTGAATGAAAATACCACAAACCCGAGGACAGCCTGTACTGCATGCCTGGTCTGAAATAAGCCAGGACTACAGAATGAGATTATTTCAAAAAACAAAACAATAAACTAAAAATTGAGAAACAGAATCATAATAGATTATGATACATTGCAAAATTAAGTCATTTATGAAAAAAGTACTACCACATGGCAATTTAAAACATTAAAACATTAACACATATTCCTCATAACCTTGCAGGCTTATGAAATGATAATATAACACTTACTATTAACAGCAAACTTAACTAATATACCTCAGCAGAGCTGGTCCCTAGTTACATTCCAATCACAGGAAAGCTAGTCTCCAACTTCAAAACTCTGATTCAAAAGGAGTATGCTCGATATTACTTGGTAAGAAATTCTGGAACAAAGAGAATGCTTTTTTCCATAGTCACATTTCACACCAATACCAAACATGTTTTTCTTGTTTAACTTTCTCAGTATCCATGTACAGGCAACAGACAAATTTAAGTATAGCACATAATAAGCATTCACTACATATAAAAAAAGAAATTTTTGATTTTCTCCCTACTTATTACTCTAAAAACCTAGCTTTACTTTTGTAAAACATTACCAGTGGCATTTATGTGAGGCCATTAAAGGTTATCAATTCATTTGTCATCCAGGAATTATGGGGCTAAGCTAGCATGTGTGTGGCAGAAGGCTGTCACAGTTCGGCAAATTCTCTAACCAAAAGCAAGCAGAACTAGCTGGTATCTATAGTGGGACATACCTATGACTCTGGCACTCAGAGGCCAGGGCTGCAGAGTTTGGACTTTGAGGGCTAGACTGGACTACCTAGCAAGGTCTTTCTCAAAAACTAAAGAATGAACACGTGTGTGTGTGCGCGCGCATGCTTTGCTCCTCCTGGTTCCAGAGACAGTCACATCTCACGCAGTGTGTGTGACTTGAGACACAAGGGTGAAGGTTTGAGTGAACAGATTTAGCTCTACTGGGGGCTTCCTTCTTGTCTAGCAAAGTGGATACTGTTATCATAAATGTACTAACTCTTTACTGAACTCAACTACATGGTCTGCATGTTCCAGCATAACTCTAGCCATAGCAAGCTCAACATAGCAACTCTAGACATAGCAAGCAAAGTCAAGGCTGAGAACAGGAAGCTTGTCATCAACAGAATGACCATGGCCATCTTTCAGGAGCGAGATTCCACCCACATCAAATGGGATGATGCTGGTTCTGAGTATGTTGTGGAGTCTACTGGTTTCTTCACCACCATGGAGATGGCCAGGGCCCACTTGAGGGGGAGGCCAGAGGGTCATCATCTCTGCCCCTTCTACTAACACTCCCACGGTTGTCATGCGTGTGAACCATGAGAAGTATGACAGTTCACTTAAGATTGCCAGCAATGCTTTTTGCACCACCAACAGCTTAACCCCCTTGGCCAAGGTCATTCATAACAAGTTTGGCATTGTGGAAGAAATCATGACCACGGTCCATGCCATCATTGCAACCCAGAAGCTGTGTATGGTCCCTCTGGGAAGCTATGGCATGATGGCTATGGGCTGCCCAGAATATCATTCCTGTATCCAATGGTGTACCAAGATTGTAGGGAAAGTCATCCTAGAGCTGAATGGGAAGCTCACTGGTATGGTCTTCTGTGTTCCCACCCACAACGTGTCCGCCTTGGATCTGACATACCACTTGGAGAAAGCTACCAAGTATGATGACATGGAGAAGGCAGGCATACTAGGGCCCACTAAAGGGCATCCTGGGTGACAGTGAGGACCAGGTTGTCTCCTGTGACCTCAAAAGTGACACCCACTCTTCCATCTTTGATGCTGGGGCTGGCATTTTTCTCAATGACAGCTTTGCAAAGCTCATTTCCTGGTATGATAATAAAAACATATAGCAAAAGACCTCATGGCCTCCAAGGAGTAGGGAACATTGGCCCACCTACCCCAGCAAGAACATGAGAGCGAGAGAGACCCCTAGTTGCTGCAAAGTCCCTGTCCCAACTCAGGCCCCGACACTGAGCATCTTCCTCAGTTTCCATCTCAGAGCCCCAGAAGAAGGGGAGAAGCTTAGAGAGCCCTACTTTCTTGAATACCTTCAGTAAAGTTTACTACACCCACAAGAGAGAGACAGAAAGACAGAGTAAGAATGAACAAACTACTCCAACCAACCCCCAACTGAGATAGTTAGACTATAATGCTGTTTAGGTGTGAGAAAGAAGAAATTAGGTAAAATATGTAAGGAGATAATAGTGGAAACAAGATGAATAATAAGTATGAAGACTTCGAAGAGAGAAACTGAAGTAAAACTCTATTAAACTCATCATTACTTAGGCTGATGTCCCAAGCAGCAAAAGAAAGCATTTAAAACAACCCATAGAAGAGTGAAAATTCACAGTGAGAGTGTTTCTGTGCTGGCAGTGAGATATGACTAGAATTGAAGTAACCTACATCACTTCTTGGATAAATAACAAAATAATACAATAAAGTCAAAACCTAGCATTCTTATTTAAAAAAAGAACAAATGGAAAGTCAACTCAAAGAAGAGAAATGAAGAGAAGGAACCACAAACAAGCAGAAGTTATTAGGAAAGGAAGGACGTTCTGCTCAAAGAGTTCTCTAGCTATGCACTAAGTTCTTTCTGCAGTCCAACATTCCACTGCTGGTAATGATCACAGACAAGGAGCAGTGTTTTGCAATGTGACCATCCTCTCTACATTCCAAACATTCCTTAATGAACCACTTTACCCATGTATACTTATATAAGCTATGCATCTCTTATAAGCTAATGATTAGTGATAATCCACTTGTGAGAAAAAGAGCTATATTCTGGGACTCATGGTGACAAATTTTTAATACTATGGACCATAGACAAAATTCAGCAGTTTGAACTGACTTATCTGCTATCTAGTAAATTAGCTAATATCCAAGTAATGCATTACTTTGTCATGTTCTTGGATTAGAGCAATCTTTAACAAAACTGATAGTTATTAGGAAAAGCTGAGCACATCTGTGGTATTTTAGAATACATTGTAACTTCTGCTTATTCACTCTTGGATATACAGAAATCATAAATCTTGGATCACAGGGCTAGGGGAAAACAGGCATACTCAGAACCTGCTGGTAGAAAAGGCAACTTCTATAGTCTTTATGAAGGAAATTTTTGCCATCTTTAATAAAAATTCTACATCTGAGAGTCTATTAGAAGCCATGTTTCAACAGTAAAGAATCGCACAATGCTTTCCATGCTCCAGTCATTAGAAAATGTTTCTGAGGATACAATATATATATAAAGAGTACACTAAAAGGACACACATATTTCTACAGTATAGTATCACACATGCAAAGTTTAAAAATATTTATCAATACTATACATTAGCTATAGAAATAGTACAAAAGAATGAGACATATAGGTGAGAAACTACACCAGAAGAGTAATAATTACCTCCAACGTAGAAAAGAGAAGCTGGTGTTTTAAGTATGATGCAGAAAAATCTGAGAACTCTTAAATAAAAGTAGGTTACAAAGACATATGTTCTATCACTTTCACAGTATCAACCTTATTATGCCTTTATAAGGAAACTTTAAGTTAGTGATCTAGATTATAACTTACTGTTGAATTATTTTTTGATCAACAAGAATTAAAAAAATCTAAACTGATGCATGACTGCCTGTAATGTAGCCACTCCCGGGCTTATGCTGCCATCTAGCAAACCTCATGGGAACAGTTAACAAGCAAATAAGCTGGTGTGTTTTTAAGAGCAGGTTTACCACTTTAATAATTTTCAAATACTAAGCACCTATGATATAAACATTTTGTAATGTCATATATACATGCAAAAAGTTTTTGATATTCTTATTGTTCAAAATACATGGAAGAAAATAAGGACGAATATTTTCTGATACCCAAAGATGTTTGAAACTACAGATAGTTCAAAATCCTGAGTTCTTTCCCATATACATGTGTGCATGTGTGTACTTATTTATAAAGTTGGTGCAAAAATTTAAAAACAGTAAAATAAAACAGATCAGTAGTAACATGTCATAGTGAAAATTTCCATTTCATGGTCATTATTAAATGTGGGTTTCTTGCACTGTGGTACCCTGAGACATCAGGGATCAACGAGTGGTAGCACGTATGATGCAGGGACCTAGAGTAAGGGGTAAGTTAATGTGGACAGGACAGCACATGGTTTCGTGCGCTGCTCTTCACAGCACACGTGAACTCAAAACTTACAAATTACTTCTGAATCTTATAATTGAGGTTACCTCAGATAATCAAAACATTAAGAATCAAAACCACAGATGGAGGAGCTCATATTACATTACTAGCTTAAAAAAATTCAAAAGACTTATTATTTAGTACCAAATTATAAAATTACATCACCATTTTCTAGGGAGTTTCTTTCATGATGCTTCAAAGGGTGGTATTCTACCAGACTGCCATACCCCAACCCTAATCTTAAATATATATAGTTAAATATATATATGCCTCAGCCAAGGAAAGCGGTGAACAGAATCAAGCTAGCTGAAGTTCTAGAAATTCTTTACCCACTAAATGTCATAGCATAGATACTTCCAACTGTTCATCCCTGCTTCTCTAGTTCTAATGGGATGGGAGGAAAAAAAGGTCAAAAATTTCAGAAATTTCTTTTTACTTCTCATTTCAACATAGTTTTTGGAAGACTTCACTTTTCACAAGACATTCTGTAAACTGAATATATTAGAAAACATATTAAATTAAAAAATATATAATTATAGACTTTATTCATTTATTTTGGTAGTACTGGGGATTGAACCCAGGGCCTTGTGCATGCCAGGCAAGCATTCTACCATTGAGCTATGTAACCAGACCACGATATACCTTTAAAAAGTAGTCAAAATCAAAAAACAAGGTTACTAATCAAGTCCCGGCTATGATTATCATTATCTCAAAGACAAAACCACAGAGGTTTATTTACAAATCTTTGTAAATTTGATAAAGTAGAAATGTGCCATACCGCTCTCATACATAAAATAAGCAGACAAATCTTAAAAAAAGATAAATGACATTTACAAAATATATACTGAGAACATGATAGGGAAAAATATAAAGGCAGGTAGAAGGGACACAAAGTCTCTTTCATGCACATACGTCCACATAAATGCCATTACAAACGCTGACAAGGAGAATTAAGTGATGCTTCCAGAACATACACAAAGGATAAAAGCTAGCAACAGGTTTCCTGAGAAAGTTGTAAGTGGGACTGGTGAGAGGAAACTCTAGATCCTGGAGTACCATGTGTCAAGGACCTAGAGCAGGGCTAGAAGGAGCCAATGCAGCTGAGAACATGGGTTAACAGGGACAGGAGACAACAAGGCGGACAGGTTCAATTTTACCCATAAGCAAGCCAGTGGGCTTAAAACACAGAAATGACCTCTTAAATCCGAGCTTAAGAAAAAACTGAGCAGCAAGTAAGACGATCAACAGCGTCAACCCCAGTAGCTAGGAGGAGAGCAGAACAGCTCTGTCGGGGAATACTCTGGATGGCCACAGCAGCAGAGTGTGACACACTGAGTCTCAACTTTTCACATCTGCTTCCCTTTGGGGGTAAGCCCTTGCCAAATTTCTATTAAAAAAAATGTCATGTCTGGCGAGAAACACCCACCAACAATTTTCTTGCACAAAATGCAAATTTAAATGGGTGAAAAACATCAGGAAATTCTAAACACCTTGTTTCTCCCTCTTTGATACCTTGTAACCCATTACCTACTGAAATGAAGACTCAATAAGGCCGGGCGGTGGCGCACGCCTTTAATCTCAGCACTCAGAGACAGGTGAGTTCGAGGCCAGCCTGGTCTAAAGAGCTAGTTCCAGGACAGGCTCCAAAAAGCTACAGAGGAACCCTGTCTCGAAAAACAAATAACAATAACCAAAAAAAAAAAAAAAAGACTCAATCGGGCATAAGACGGTGACATTGTTAATTCTCACCAGTGAATGCTTTCTAGCCGTTTATTATTCAGAGTTTCCTACCACCAACCTTTTTCTGCTTAGAAGGGTCCCTATGCCTGCATTGTCTTCCAATACATCACTCAATTACTGCCTGCAATTCCTGTAGAGGGCTCCCCGAGAAGATTAAGGACTCTATCACACATGACTTTGCTCCTGCAAAAACTTCTGCACAATTATTGGGGGGGGGGGATCCTCCTTTATTCTCTATCACAGGTTACTGGAAAACGAAAAACAACAAAGAAGTCCTACGCAGCTTTGTAATTGGGACAGTGACCTGCATAGAAACGACAAGCAGGGTAAGGCACTTTTTCACGATACGCAGCTGTGAGGTGTCCCTTCGATTCTCGTTCCTCCAAGCTTACGTTGTTTGGGACGCCATGTGAACGTTGGTAAAAGCATGTACTGAAAACTCTTGGTGGGCCTGGCAAGACTAACACTCCAGCGGAGGTGGGTGTGAGACGAGAGAGAATTAAGCACGAAACCAGGAAGAGATAGATAGGGGGATAAGCGAGTGCAAATGGCTCTTACTGTAAAGGAGACAGATCAATGGGACCGACACTATCAGGAAAAAAAAGAGGTGTCCGGAGTGCGTACAGGGTCATTGAAGATCTGTAACTTGTAACACAAACCGTGCTGCAGTTTGAATTCACTTCCTTTCAATTCTGACAATCAAGAAAACGCAGGTTTACTGAGAGCTTACTCAGTCAGGGCCAAGCACTGAGCTCAGCAAATTTAAACCTTACCCGCTTATGAGGAAGGGACAATCGTGGAGCTACATTCTACAGATAACAATTGAAAGTGACGGTACACCGAGTGGCCTCCCCATCGTTGCAGGGACGGAAGTGTGCGGAACCTGAGACCAGGGACGCGACCCGCGGCGCGTGGTTCCCGTCTCCCGACCCGACGGGTCCTCGGCGGCCGCGCTCCCCACCCACGCGGCGGGAGACCCCGGAGTCGGAGAGGGCGCCCTACACCCCACAGTCTCCACCCCCCGACGCTCACCTCGTTATTGAGGTTCAGAGTTCCCGGCTGAGGCTTTGCGGCCGGAGGAAGCTGATCGGCCGCCATCTCCGCACGTGAACGCCGGAGGTTACACCGCGGCTGCGCAGACACGCCCACCGACGGCGGCCTCTTGCACCCAAAACTCACCGTCCTGCGCGCAAACGCCTAAAAAAAGAGGCGGTACCGGAAGTGGGAAGGGCCGGAATGGAGCGTTTCCGTGGAAACCAGGCAAGCGAGCGCTCCAGTGGGCGTGGTATTAGCTGATGCTTGCAGAGAAGGGAAATTTTCTCGGGGATTGTTCTACTGTGCTCCGTTATAGTTGGATGGTACTGAGGAGGAGCGGAGAACGTTTTCCTGAACAGATCAAGTTGCTTGAGTTGCCGATTTTGCTCAGTTCTAAAGTCTAGCGCTTGTGAAGATTTTTGCTCTTTGAAGAACATCTTTTTAAGAGCCTTCCTTGGTGTCTTTTGCTTCTTACCGGCCGAAGCGCGAATATGTGGAAAGGCTGAGTTTTGGTAAAACGGATATCTGAAATAGAAGAGGAACATTTGTTACTCCCTGTGAGAACTGTGTTTGAAGAGCTGGATCTGTGGGCATAAGAAATATAAAACGAGACTCTAGTAGTGACCATTATAAAGGAGGATGTCCTGGGCCAAACTCTTTACACGAATTAACTTCAGAATCTTATATTCATAAACAAAAACAAAAAAAACAAAAAAACAAAACCTGACATCGAAATTAATTGCCTTGTTCAAAGTTGCTAGCTGGGGCTGGCCACACACACGACTTCAGGTACCACTGCATAGAATATGGGGTCCACTGCAAAACGGAAATGCAAGACCCCCCTCATTTAAAAAGCAGTAAAATGTTTATTGCATTGTGTCTCCAATAATAATAATAATAATAATAATAATACCCCATGAAACTGCATTGGTACCTTTTCAGTTTTCTCAACTACAATACAAGGTTACAGAAATACCAGTACGGATTCCTAAAGGTGGCAATTTCTGCTTAAGACTCAAGAATATGCGTTTGAACAAGATGGGAACAGTTGCTGGGTGGGAGTGTTGGTGAAGGAAGCTAGAGAACTCATCGGGTCAGATTGGATTGGGCAGGACAGCATATCATCAAAGACTAGTGCAACTGAGGGTCCACGAACACGATCACCAGGGACTCAGTTTTCCCTGTCTTAGGTTCTTTTTTTTTTGGGAGGATGTCAGGGTTCGAGACAGGGTTTCTCTGTAGCTTTGGAGCCTGTCCTGGAACTAGCTCTTGTAGACCAGGCTGGCCTCGAACTCACAGAGATCCACCCACCTCTGCCTCCCGAGTGCTCGGATTAAAGTCGTGCCCACCACTGCCCAGCCCTGTCTTAGGTTCTTTAAAGGCCCCGAACTCCCGCTGTGTTGCTGTGCTTGGGCTGATCTAACAAAATCCCACAGGCTGGGAAGATTACATGGCAGAGGTCTGTGTTCCTAAACATTGCCATTAGGGTTCATTTCCAGGCTCTCCAGTTGCAGACATCTAATTTTGGCCATATTCTCATATGACTTTTATTCTCTGCACATGTGGAGAACTCTCTAGTGTCTCTTTCAACGGCCACAACCCTCTTGGATTAAGATCTCACAGTAATGATCTTAAAAAGCCTTAGTTACTCCCACAAATGTTTTATCCCTAAATTACATCACACCAGGGATTAGAAGTTGAATATCTGGATGAAGAGTCGGCAAAATCAATATCTAGTTCAGGGTGCACACCCTTAGATTGCTTCAAAGCGATCTTGACTTTAGGCTTTAGTATTGCCAATTCTATCTTGTTTCTCAATTTGTAAATAGGAGCCGTGTTTGCAAACACATCTAAACCTAGATATTTAGCATCAGGAAAGAATAAAAAAACTACATTTACATGCATGTGGACAGTTTTTTAAACAAAATTATGAAGGTAAATAAGTAGGCAGAATGACAGCCTTTTAAGCAACACGTGAGTGAATAATTATTTATCTGTATGAAGCACTGTATCACACCACTCCAAAACTAAAGAAACTGCATATACCAAAATGAGAAACCTCAGACTTGCAAAAAATAACTTAGGTTACAAACCCTATGACACTTTGCAGTGTATTATGAAATGATTTCTTAGATGCAAAACAAAACAAAACAACCCCCCCCCCCCAAAGAAAACCCACTTGGAAATATATTGATGAATTACACTGAATCAATGACACACCTTCTTCTTTCCAGGGCTCACCATTACAAGAAGGAAAGCACATGGGGGGAGAAGAATTTTGTCAATTACACAATGACCTCATTAGTCATTATCTTTCTTCTGCTGTAAGCACACCCCTTGTGGTATGAACTCTTAGCCCCCAGGACTCTGGGGAGACATGATTTAGTCACTTTTTTTAGATCGGGTTAGCACTGGTTGCTAGATGTTCTCATTGTTCTCTTCAATGCTGACCGATTTAGCCAAATTTTTCTCTCTAGAATATCTTTCATATACTTTGGAATCCCAATGTAGCTGTTGGGAAGTTAATAGACTTTGCCAAGAAGAGAGTTATATCCGTACAACCATGTTTTACTTTCATCGAGGGTGAAAGCATAAGTTACCAAGACTTGCGTCATTTTTCTCACACATGCCAATTACAGCCTTTAGTAGTTGGACTGTTTCAGTAATTCCTCAAGAAACAGGTCACAACACAACTGTTTCTGCAATACAGAACCAAGTCACATGCTCCTTCTTTTGACTGTGCATTTCCACCTCTTATCCTCTTGGTGGCAGTATTGTTTTCTAAATTGGGCACCAAAGCTAAGTTGGAAAGCCGAGGGAAGTTACATGGATGGTGTGTGAGAACCTTTTCCAAATTAAAAAGAAACTTGATGAGTCTTCTGAATCTATTTATATTTAGCAAAAGATGAAGTCTTGGATTTTTATTTTAAATGACTCACAAACTACAGTAAACCATCAGATTTATTGAAGAGTCAATAAGTATACTAAAGAATACACTACTAGTAGGAGACAGGAAATATTCAAGTTACAATAACATCTTTATAAATTTAACATCTGTTTGGTTGGAAGTGAGACTCCAGCCCCCTGACACCCCTATACCCAAGGAGTCTGGGATGTTTGGTTGGAATTATTTGTGTCAGCGGAGAGGCTTTCTTAAGAAATATTCCTAACAACATCTTCCAAAAGTTTTTTTTGTTTAGGTTTCATTTGAATTTTAATGGAATAATTTGATTAAATTTATGACTTTAAACTTACTACTAATCTAAAAGTCTTATTGCTGAAATTATAGGACACACTATTCTGAAAAGGCTAATTAACATTTTACAAAACTTCATTTTACCAAATATAAAGTGAGGGTGCCAACGCCTACTTAGCAACTCATAATTGTAGCTAAGGACTTGAGCTTTGGAGTCAGACTGCAAAAGGCTAGTCTTCAGTTCTACATATTAACAGCTGTGGTGTCTGCCCTTCAGAAATCGTGTATGCCAAGATTTTTACTTGCAAAAAATGGGAGTAATAACCTGGCAGGTTGTGAAGTTTAAGTGGAAACCCAACATACACTTGAAGAATATTTGCTTCTCTATAGTTTAAATGGCTGTTATTTTCATCATTGTGTTTGAGCTTAACACTGCATATGAATGATTTATGTCTCTTGAATGGCAAATAAGCCAAATGGCATAGTGCTAACAGGGGCAGTTCAAGACTCATCATTGTGGAAATAAGTTGGGCTCCAATTTGTTGTATGGAGGCCGCTTGTTTGTTTCCTGGCTGCCTGGCTAGCTTAGACCCAAAATAACCACCCAGAAACTGTGTTAATTAAACCACTGTTGGTCCATTAGTTCTAACTTTTTATTGGCTAACTCTTACATATGAATTTAACTCATCTCCATTAAACTGTGTATCACCACAAGGTGATGGCCTACATAGCAAATTTTAGCACGTCGATATCCGGCAGCAGATCCTTGGCATCTCTCCAACTCTTTCTTCCTCCTAGCATTCCTTTTAGTTTTCTCCACCTAGCTCTGTTCCCCTATAACTCTGCTAAAGGCCCCAAACAGTTCATTTATTCATTAACCAATAAAAGCAACACATAGACAGAAGGACCTCCCACACCCCCTCATATGCAGTCATTGGTATCTTAATAATTCCTGAGCACCATGCTGTCCTTTCTCATTCAGCTATCTACCAATTGCTCGACAATTAATGACTTAATGCATTAAATAACTCTAAGTCCCTTCATACATGTGACATGCTGGTTTTATTATTTACACATTCCCTCACTATAAAACTCAAGATTATTGAACCAAAACCTATAGTAATTGAAATTTATGCTTAGAAACCACTTAAGCCAAGTTACAATTCATTTTCAATACAGTAGTGGGCTTTGATTCAATTTAACAATCATTTTAATCATCTATTTGCAAACCGATTTGCTATGTTCAGTAGATTAAATATTAGTAAATATATTGTTTAAAAATTGTGGTAGAAAAAAAGATTTTTACCACATGGAAGAGTAGTATAAATGTCCAATAGAGTCCTAATAGCGTGAAAGGAGACCTTGTAGAAACCAATCCTGTTAACATTCTCTCATCTGGAAGAAGGAGACTCATGTGACTCAGAAGGCTCCTGATATCTTCACAAGACCTTTCTCCTTCCTGATATTATGTGACGTAAACAATTGATTGGAGTGATGCTCTTTACTGGTGCCATTGCCTTTGGTTCCTACATGCTGGGAGTGGGTCTTTTTCAGTGATGTAGCTGCCTTCAGGTTTCTCATGCTTCAGTATGTAAACCAAACGAGTTAAGCTGGACTTGGATGGAGGGCTTTCTTTGGTTGTCTGCACTGGTTCTGTTTGCAGTGAAGAGATATTTCTTTACATTGTCCCAGGAAGAGTCATGCAACAAACACTATAGGAAAGCAAAGGTAGCTTGAACAGAA